TTTGTAAGCAACATCTTCATGTGTGTATTCAACCTTATGTGTGTTGCAAAGTTTGGTAAACACTTAAAATACGATGTTGCTTTCTTTCAAACCCACAATTACGGCTCACTTTACCAAAGGCCACAGCACTTGGCTCATCCCTGTGCCAATTCAACTCAGACATACCGCGCAATGCAGCTAACTCCCTAGATGGGCCTTCCACCCCCGAATTTTCCACTTAAGTAAATTAATGATCAGGAAAGATGGGATACACCCAGAAGACAGAAAACCACTTATTCAGCAAGACAAAAATGGATACGCTGGCATGGAAACTTATAGTTGAAAGTGAAATGCATCCTACAAAGAATCCCAGATTTCAGCTGCCTGCTAACGACGGTAAATATTTCAGGGATGTCCCTAAGATGATTTCTACTGAGGACAAATAGTACCTTCTTGTCAAAAGCAAAGAGGCTGGCCTGATAGGGGAGAGACAGTTCTCTTATCCCTCTAATGGATTTATTCCCTTATGTTCAATATTTCTCAGAAAGGATGTCACTTCCACAGAGAATTCTGCTGCTCTACATTTTAAGAACTCAAATGTTCCAGTGAAGCTCAGCTTAAAATTCAGAAGCTGATAGAGAATATGGAAAGAAAAAAAACAAATATAAGTTGGCTTAGAATGCTACAATCCTTCCAACTAAAAGACAGCAGCAACTAGAAATTCAGAAACGCACTGATGGAGCTAACTGTAATCTCACATACCTTCTGGAAGTAGGCATGTTTATGCTTTGCATGCCTATCTTTTCACATGCAAAAGGCAACATCTGAAATGTATGTAACCTAAGAGTTTGCCCTGTAGTCTTAACTATCCTCCCATAAACTTAACCAACAAAAATAATAATTAACATAGGTGCCTCATAATCCTTCCAAAATATTTTCTTAGTAAGAAGGTAAGTAAGGATTGGTTTACCATTCAATAGAAAAAGATGACTGTTTAATATGGGTGTGTGCCAATATATGAAAACTATTTTAAATTAATATTTTTGCAGTGGTCTGGAAGACCATGAGCCTAAATGCTGAACGCTCCCTAGCTGCAAATTGGCTCTGCCCTGAATCACTGTGCAACCCCGCATATTAAAAATAGGAGGAGGAAAGAAAGTCAAGATAAAAATTATTTAAGCACATTAACACTTATAATTCTGTACTATTCAAGAAGCTGGAATGCCCCAAATTAAATTTAGGACACAGACAGACTTAGATACACCCTTACTATAGGTCTGCCTCATAAGCCAGCACAAAAGGCAGCAGCACAGACACAGTGCAGAGGTGTGTAAAGCCACCAGTGGCACACTCACTGTGCCTGGCACTAGGAGCTGCTCATGGGGCATCTTCTGCAATCCTCAGGGGAAATTTCTTCCCATGGCAACCAGGCCTTCTCAAGTCTTTTTAATTAAAAGGATTTACACAAACCCAAGTATTTCCACTTTACATGAAACCTAGAGAAAACATGGCTCACCAATAAAATCACGAAGGAGTTGTAAGAAAAAGAAATTTTATGTGTTTGAGGTAATGCAACACATATAAATACAGTGCAGCTACCTAGCTTAAATTCATAAGAGTTTTTACTGCAGCCCACACCTGGGTATCTGATAATGCATGCAAATATAAGCTTCTAACGTAGGCCATGAGGAAGAATTAAATAACAACGCAACCTTGAAAGTGAAATTATTATCAGTGCATATTTTCAGAGGAAAAAAAAGGAAAACAAAAAAATGGTGCTAAAACCACACAAAAGACAAATTGATGTTGATGCCTAATAAATGGAAAATCTTAGCCTGTATGGTAGTACAGGTTGTAAAAAACTGGCACAAGACAATATTTAACCTTGGCCTACAAGCAAGCATCACTTCATTAGCACAAACTTGTAATTTAAGGTACCAGGGCAGATAGGTTTACATGTAGTCCCAAGGAATTCCTGCATTTGTGAGAGATACATACACTTATGTTCCTTCTCATTGTGAACACCTGTACCTATATTTAACTTCAATGAAATTTTCTTTCTAAAACTATCCTTGGAGCTGTCAACATCATTTGGTAATAACAGTGCTGGCGCATTCATAACAATTGCAAAAGCTATTTTATACCTATTAAAGAAAAGGCCATTTTGTTAACGTTCTGAGCCATCATTTAACTATCAGGTAAAATACCACATGATTTTTTCACAGAAATTAATTCATCAGAAATGAAGAATTATCCAAATTTTATGTTCTGATTGATGTTCTCTCAGAAATACTGTATCACATATTTATTTAAACTAAAATGTGAATAAAAACAGGGGAAATATTACAAGTACCATAAAAATGCTAGTATCGACGTTATTTTCAGTTAGCAACTTTTTTCTTTCTTAATTTCATTAGGTATCAGGAGATAGCTCTGAAAACATCATTCAATTTCCCTGCACAATTTTATTAATACCTAGAGTTTGATCTCCTTCCCTCTATAAATTCATCCTGTAATCCCACAATGCCAGTGAAGAAATGACATTCAAATCTGGAACCCTGAAACACAGTCGTTTAAGTAATGCTGAGGTTTGTTTGTATTTGACAGTTCAGAAACTTGGCCAATGTACTTTAGGAAAGAAAAATGTCTTGCATTTGATACCGGAGTGGTCTGCACATACGTATCCACTGCAATCAGCATCACTCCCAAACAAAACTAACTGACAACAAAAAAATTATTAATGCTAGAAGAATGCAACAATTAGAGTAAAAACAGAAATATAACTTTTAAAAGGCACTAAAAAATTCAGAGACAAATAGCACCAAAGTACAACACTATGGATGGTTAATGTGAAAATCTATCCTGAAAGAACTGGGGCACTAAAAGGAAACAAAACAAAGCAATCTGCTATCTCATTGTACGAAAAAAGCCTTGACCTAAACACGCCTAAAGCGTGGTTTCTAGTTCAGTAGCTGCAACTCAGATCAAATCCTGATGCATACTGGTTATTCATCTGAAATATCACTACTGCAGCTGCTACATTAATCCACCTTTTAGTAGTATTTCCTTCTTCTTCTCCTATGTCCTTTGCTGAGTGCAACACACTTCAAAAAAGGATGTGGCCACCACGGTTAAACTTTCAGGAAAAGAGCATTAGTGGCATTTAGATGATATGCTTTCTTTTCCTTTCTTCTGCTTTACCAGTTGCAAACATCTTAATAAAACTAACAGTGGAACAGGTCTCGTTTCAAAGGGTGATCACTTAACATACACTCAAGTGCTCTTTACATTTTTAATCTTGCCAAACATGCCCCTATAAACAGGCATTGTATTACAGCAAGTACTAATGATAAAATGCCAAAGTGGCATTGAGAACTTTATAAACATGTGAACCCCGCTGGCAAAGCCACAAGTCAAACAATAAAGGACTGGGAATGTACACGTTTGGGGTGGGTTTTTTTGGCTACACATTCATAGCAATAAATATGCAAGCATAATTAGTGTGTTGTTTTCAACTGCAATACTACTTGATTTTCACCCCAAATTTAATAGCAACACCTATTTCATCTTGTGTCATTAACTGTTTGAGGAAACATCACATCTGTTGTGTATTACATGCTAACAGTGCTGAATTACAAAGGTTTTGATCTGTTTGGAGGAAAAGGTAGGGATTTGTTGTTCTGAGAAGAATAACTACTCTATATGCAGACTCACTGGGTAAAACTCAACTTATGGAGTACATGAAGTACTCTGGACATGGCAACAGGAAACAGCATTTCACCAATTTACCCACAAACGTATTTTAAAAGTTAGATCCAAATTAAACTGAAAGCAGAAACCTTTGACATCAAGTCCTAAGCAAAAAAATAGTTTTTCAGAAATAATAGTTGAAATTTTCAGCATTCAAGGAGAGTATTCTGTTTGGGTTCTTCCATAAGACACTATCACATAAAGCTCTCTTTAGCAGGTAAACACAATTTTTCAACAAAACTATCACACTGCAAAATATTCCAGAGGTCCAATTTGCAGCTTAGCACCACCCCACCTTAAAGCACTCCTAGCTACAGATCTTTCATGAAAGGCCCGAACCCCAAAGGAAACAAACCACAACTCTGTAACACACCAAAACCAACTGCAATACACCTTTTGGACAAAAAGAAAAACAAAAACAAAGCACCTTTTGTGCAGTGAAGCAGCCGAATGGGAACAGTAAAAGAAGGCATAGTTTACCTCTAATTAAGGGAAATAGATGGATGTATCAAACAAGCTCATTCTGCCAACTTAATGAATCAGCTTAAAGAACTGGAAGTTTTCCTCCTAACTTCTCTCAGAGTCAAGTACATCTTTTGAGTGGACTTGAAAATTCTGCCTCTTCTAAGGTAATCTCTTCCTCTGCATACAAGAATTATTATGGAATTCAGTAGAGAATTATACATTAAAGAAGAGGTGGTACTAGTTTTGTGGGAAAAGCAATCACAGTCTCCAAAATAGCTAGATATGAATGACTTAACATTTTCCTTTGAACACAGTATTTATATATATATATATGTATGTATGTATCAAGGTACCACAATTTAAGTTTTTCTAATTATTTAGCAAAACACCCTTATTTTATTTTAAAGATAATTTCATTAAGCCCAAAATCAAATGATCAGCTTCAGTACAGATTGAACAGATTAATGAAGAAGAAGAATTTGACCTTTCAATAAACCTGTTCAAAGTTGATTATATTTCACAAACTGGTTTCCAGTTTTGCTTTTATAAATAATGGATCATTAACTTTCAAGCAAACCAGTGTGCAAGATTCATGAGATGCATTCAGATATTTGTTCATGTCTGTGACCGTATGACACAAGTTCAGCCACAGTTCCAGTCACCACGACACGTAGGCAGGTAGGTTCTACTGTGCTTACTATTACAGCAAGTACTCATTACTAGCTTAAACTCTTTTAAAGGAGCTACTTTCAGTCCATCAAGTAACTCCATCACTCCAACAGGAATCTGGAGCTCAAATTACTTACCTGTGAACATAATGCAACTGATGAACTGAATCAATGGCTATCACCATTTCAGCCAAATAAAAACGAGCCATATCTTCGGGCAGTCTGTCCTCAAACTTACTGAGCAATGTAAGCAGGTCGCCTCCAACATAGTAATCCATAACCAGGTACTGTGGAGTGGGAATGATAAGAAAACAGAGAGGGGAAAAAAAAATACCACAATTTGTGAATCACAGATTAAATTCTAATTGATGCATAAAAACTAATATATTGCAAAAATTATTATGCACGTTAAAAAAAGTGAACCGAGATACTTAGCTGTTCAGAAAACAGTAGTTGGTTCAGTTGCATTTTAATATTTATCCTACTTGAATATTTTTCATATTTATACCTCTCCAAATACAGTAAGCCTCATGACAAATTAGTATCAACTTTATCCACTGTCCCATCACTAAATACAGAGTATTTAGATACTCTGGATTCCCTTATGAACACAATATCCTTTGCTAGAATGCAAAAGAAGTAAAGGATTGAAGTACAGACCTATAAAAATGAAATTAACTGTAATAATTTGTTATCTCATTTATGTGCCCTGATTTTCCAGGTTTCCCTTTTTTCCTACCATCTTCCTTTTCCATTAAACAAATGCCTTTGGAGAGTAAGGTTTTTAGACTAGTCAGATTAAGGCAAAGTCTGAGAGACTTCCAGTGGCTCACAGTTCCAGGAACTGCTGACATTGTGCATGACACAGGATCTGGCAACATAAAATACAAGGGGTCACCTTCTCTAGTTGAAATTATGGAGAAAAATAAATTTGATTTCTGATGTCTTAACGAACCATAAAACTTGCCTGCCATTAAAGCAGGTGACTTTAAAGGAATCAGAACCTTTCTGCACTTTACTGTATTTACAGAATGAAATGCCACTTTTAGTGACATAGTCAATGTAACTGGAAAAAGTGAAACTTAAGAGAAGTGTGAAACTCAGGACTAACATATTCTTAGCTTAGTTTGTTTTAATTGTGGAACAGCAACTGGAAGGGTAAATGGGGAAAAGAAAAAAAATCAAACTAATAACTAACAAACTAATTATAAGCATTCTAACTTAACATGCACTGATATGACATTACTTTCAAGCATCATTGTGGACAGATTAACTGGAATCATAGAATATTCTGAGCAGGAAGGATCATCAAAGTCCAGCTCCTGACCCTGGACAGGACAGCTCCAAGAATCACATCATGTGCCTGAGAATGAATTCCCAATGAAGTACAGAGTATCTGAAAGCTTCTGCTTAGAGTTCCAAAATCTGTTTCCAGGAAGGCTGCATATGAAGCAGTGACTATTAACAAGATAAAAAATACTAAAACATATTAAAGATGCAACAATGTATACCCCAATTTGATCCTTTAAAATTTTGATAAAGCAACTTAAAGGGACATTTTAAAATTAGTTCCCCATATTTGTTCAAGTCTTTCCCATTTTCAGAAATAGACACTAAAATATGTGGAAAAAATCTGCTAAATTATACCAGCTTTAAGGAAATGAGGGGCAGGCAGAAATCTTACACCTGTTTCTTTTCCCTCATACTTTCCATAAAAACGAGGGTGATTTTAACAGCCTGATACAGAATAACTTGGGCGTCCTCATTGATTCCAACTGCATGAAGAAAGCACAAAATGAATTTCCACAAGACTTCAAATGTGTTGACAATCAAATTTTCATCTGTTGCTTTGTGACACGAATAATAAACTTCTTAAATTATGCTCACAAACCTCATACAAAATAAATATCTTCTATTCGGTGGTGCTCCTATGCTCCCTCCAAAACAAGATCATAGCATTAGTTTCTTATGTTTTATAGTTTTAGAAAAATGCATTAAGCCTTTGGAGCTTCAGATATTGATTATTAACTGATGCATTGCATAGACATCTCCAAGTGCTTAACTTATTGCTTTGAAAGCATATGAAAAAAACCTCTTAAGATTCACCTAACTTATGTGCAATCTCTGTACTCATTATTCAGGACTTTTAAAACCCATACAACTGAGTTACTGGATATACCAAAATAATGCAATTTTGGCTCTCATGACACAGGATTCCCATTTTGCCAGAGCAACACAGTAACCTAATGACAAGGAAACCTTCCATTGTTCAAATAATTCAACACTTAAACTGTAACTCAAAGCATTAAGTTGTGCAAATGAAGTTAAACACATGCATAGGACTGAGAGTTAAATTTAACAACTACATTTTAAATTAAAAAATTCCGTCAATGTATAACATCCTGTCCAATGTCAACTATCCATGTTCTTAAAAAAAGATCTTTTAAAAGCTTTAAAAATACTTTCTAAATGTACATAATCATCCAGATCTATCCAAGTCTCAAATACTTCTCAAAACACTACTGTATGACAGCACCATCCTTACAAGAGAAAGAAAAATGATAGATTTAAGAACACTAAATTCTAGTAACTAGTGGAAGTTTAACATGGGGATTTAATACATTTAGTTTGGAAGAAATCTCTTGAGATCATGTACTCCAGCCTCATTTGCTCAAGTAGGGTCAGCCAGAGAAGGTTGATGATGACTGGGTCCAGTATCTCCAAGGCTAGAGATTCCACAACTCCTCCATGGAACATGTTCCTGCGTTTGACCACCTCCACAGTAAAGACAGGTTTTCCTGTGTTCTGATGAAACTCCATGTATTTCCATTGTCTCCTGTCCTCTCATCAGGCTCTACTGAGAGGAATCTGGCTCCCCTGTCTTCATTCCCTCCAATCAGTTATTTCTACACATTGATGACAGCCCCTCTCCCAAACCTCCATTTGTTTGGGCTGAAGAATCCCAGCTCTCTCAGCCTCTCTTTATCTGAAGGATGTTCCTGCGCCTCAGTCATCTTTCTGGCCTTGCACTGGACTTGCTCCAGTAGATCCATCTCTCTTTTGCACTGGGGAGCCCAGAAGCGGACACAATACTTCAGGTGCAGCTGCAGCAGGGCTGAGCAGAGAGGAAGGGCCTCCACTGACTGCTGGCAACACACTTCCTTGCAGCCCAGAATACTCTTGGCCTCTTTTGCCGTGAGCCTGCATTGCTGGCTTACAGTTAAGCTTGTTATACACCAGGACCTCAAGCAAAGCTGCTTTCCAATCAGTTGGCCCCCAGTACATACTGGGTTTATTTTATTACACCCCAGACTGCATTTCCCTTGCTGAACTTCATGAGATTTCTCTCTGTCTCTGGTTCCCCAGTCTGTCGAGGTCTATCTGAGTGACCACACAGCCCCTTCTCCCTATTTCTTTACCACCTGTGAACATGTTGAAGGTGCACTTCACCTGTCCCGTTCCCAGGTCATTAATGAAGAACTCGGCCCCAGTTTTGATCCCTGGGGTACAGCACCACTGATTAGCCTCCAGCTGGACCTTATGTGACTGATCACAAACCCTGGGTCCAACAGTCAATCTTCTCTGCATCTCACTGCTGCTCATCTAAGGCACAATAGTCAGCTTGTCTATGATGATGTTCTGGCAGACAGTTCATCTGCTGCTCAACCACATCTACTGCTCAAATCTACACAGATTTTTTTTTTTTAAAGGTCACTTTTTTACACATAATTTTAATAATAACCATATAGAGAACTAATGATACCTTCACACTAAAAAGATACAAACACCCCCAGTATTACTGATATTTTCCCCAGGAGGCTGTAAAACTAGTTCCTGTTAGCAGACTATCAAAGATAAAGAACAGAACCTGCTCTGTGCTTAGTGAAAATAAGCAAACTGGCAAGAATAAAACAATTTCTAGCAGGCTGCTGTGGAATACATAAGATTTTCTTTGAAATGCTATTAATGGTAAGACCAAAATTACAAAAAAAAAAAAAGAGATTTTTTTACTGTCCCCATTAACAAAGCATGAAGCTGGCTGGGAGGTATTTAAGCCAACAGTTAGACTCACAAATGCAGAGGCCAGTCAGTTTCTATACAAATCCACCAAAATCCATGGATCTCCAAGCATCTGAGTTGGCAGAACAGAACGCAATATAATGGCATTTATAAAATATGTAGACGGCAATACAGAAAGCATTGGAAGTCTACAAGAATTACCTGTATAGCACTTCTTTTATTGGACAGACTAGGAGCAAAAAGAAGGCTGTGGCTGTATAGTAGATTTCTAAGAAATTATTAAAATTACTAATGATATAGAATCCAAAGCATAGGGCAATAAAACACAAATAATCAAAAGTCATCAATGTGTAGTTGTTTACTTTTCAGGTATAAATATTATCAACACTGTTATCACAATCAAAAAATATTTAAAGAGGTAAAGATTTCACAGAAAATTGGCACTTTGTTCTCATATTAGCTTTTTTTTGCAAGTCTTTCAAAATATTTGAAAACTAAATAACATTAAAGAGACACTTTAATCTACAATTACAGCTTCCAGTTTTTATTTATGAACATTTAGTGGCATTATTCCATGCTGCAATAACATTTTATCGCTTTGTGACATCTTAGTGGGCTTAAGTCCTCAAAATAAAAAAGACCAATCAAAAAGAACTGCTGTTTCAAAACAGGGCTACTCCCTATTTCTCTCTGTAAAATCAGCAATGTTAATCACAAAAATTAAAGTCAAATAGAAAATTTATGTTAGCAAGTGCACTTCTATTTTTATGCATCCAATTAAACTGGTGTGACAAATTGGAAGAAAGAATATGGAGGTAGACTACAGTTTATCAACAAATGCAAAGTGGTTTAGAAAACAAAGCTGCATTCCTGAGATATTTATAGCAGAACTTTTCAAAGTTTCTGACCCATCTCCACCCTTCAGAATCTTATGCACAATATCACAGATCCTCATATGGTCTGTACGGTCCAGAACACAAAATTAACAAGTAAAACTATATTTCTGTCTCAAACCACAATAAGAATCTGCATTTTCACCCATATATACATAAAAGCAACACTTACTAAATAGTTTTCATCCTGGAATGCATAATGCAATGTTGTGATCCACTGGTTATCTCCATTCACTAACACATCTCTCTCTTCTCGAAAACAGGCTGTCTGAAGGAGAAAAAAATAATTATAGCCTTTAAGTAAAATATATAAAGAGAAACATTTTACATGTTGACTATGTTTTGACTGTGTTTTTTGAGGGGGAAAATCAAAACCGCCTTTCAGTTAAAAAGTCATTACAGTATTCAAACATGACAAAATCTACAAAAAAAATTTAATATAAGCCCACCTTCTTCAAATTTGAACAGTTGTACTTCTCTATAGTGTTTACTGAGGCAAAGAGATAATAAGTTGCTGCTTTTCATCATCTAAAAATCCTAAGTAAAAATCTTGAAGTATCAATAATGACAGAATAGCAATATATGATTAAGAAAAACAATCAATAATTAGGTAATTGTAACTGTAGTAGGAGTCAGAGTGCTAGAATCTGGAGTCTTGTGTCATTGTTTTATCTCATCATGCCCTTAGCCTTGTTTTACATTTGAGTTTTCACATAAGCAAAGTTCTTTTCATTTAAAAGTTGCTGCCAACAACTTCCATGTACTCATCCTTTGATAATCATTAACTAGTTGGGGTTTTCTCCACACCCGATACTTGGCAAAAGTAGAACACATCTGAATATTACTCTTGCCAGATATAAACTGTTGATCAGACATCCCAGGGGGTTTCCCCTCAATATACTTGAAAGAAAAACAGAAGGCAAGAGGTGCCTTCGCAGGAAGTGGAACAGAGGAGGAGCAAGAACCACCAACAAATGTTAAGGAATACCTAAGAGAAGGAGGAGAACACAGGTCTGTATGGAAAAAAAAGAGGATAAAATGTGAAGAAAATAACAAAGTAAAAAGCAGTGAGGCATTTAATTCCATGAAGGTCTTGTAACTTGTCCTGAGAAGTGAAAAAAATACCTCAGCAAAAGCAATTCTGCAGAACGACAGATAAAAATGACTCAACAGATGAAAGGCCAAAAAGAAATTACAGCAAAGCAATACGATAAATGTTTCAAAGGAACCAAGTTTTAAAGTGAATATCACAAGAAAACAAAAAGTACCAAATGCCAAAGCCAACACACAATTTTGTTAAGAAAAAGAATATCTAAAAGATAGTGCGAAAGAAAGAATAATATTGTATGAGCTACATTTAGAAGGCAGAGGGAGAGTAAGAGACAAACACAGACCATATTCTCTTCCAGCACACTGCTCTTCACAAAGATGTTGCATCAGTTTGAACCCCTGCTCTTGTCTCTTCCATCTTTGAGACAACCAAATTTAAAGAAAATTCAAGCCTTTTCTTTTTAGTTTTTCAATTTTATTTCCAAATCCAAATAAATCCCAAATCTGGAAAACGAGAACTTTATCATGGTTACTGCTGGCTGTGAGATTTGGAAAGTGAAGACTGAAAAGTGAAATATCATTTGATATTGAGCTATGCACAAGAATACATGCAGTAAAAAGAGAGCAGAAAATAACTGTCTCCTCTGAGCAAATAAACCATACTTTTTTTGTGTGTGTGTAAATACGGTAAGAATAGTGCAGACAAGGAGAAGGAAAGATGACGTACTTTAATCATATCTTTATCTCAAGCACGATGCATGAGATAAATCAGTGAAATCTGAGAAAACAGCAAAACATACTTTATACAAATACCTTCAAAGGTTACTGAATGAAAAATAGACTTGGGGTGGGAGAAGGAGCAAGGATCATCTTCAGAAGGAAGAAAAGCTGTTCGATGCTTCAGCTTGATTTTTTTTCCTTCCTTGTTTGTAAACTCTTGACATATTTCAGAGAGAGATAACTATGAACTCTTGTTTTCACAAGGATAAATAACATGCACTTTCTCTACTCGTTATGAAATAATTCATAGGATTAGTTATTAGAGAGTTTATATAATTCCACTTATTTTTGCCATGATTTAACAGAAGACCATGCATTCCTCGAGTGCTCTAGACATCCACCTCTGGGAAGTATGCCTAGAGCTGACAGCAACAGCTATTACCACAGTAGATCACAGCTGAGACAGTAACAGCTAGAGTCTAAGTGGTTCATGGCAAAAATAATGCAACAACAACAAAAAAAATTGGGTAGCAGTGGTTCTTTTAATTGCTGTAACAGCTTAATTAAGGTGTGTTTTTTTTAAATGAAGTATCTTTTTTTTTTGTGCCTTTCATTATTCCAGCATTACACTTCATCTTCTCCAGGCAGTCTCCTTGAATTGTTGGCAGAGACCTCCAGAGGTCATCTGACCCTACTCTCTTTCACAGCAAAGCCAACTCAGTGCTATGGTTGTATCTATACTGTTATCGTGGCCTTCAAGCAGCAAAGAATTTGACCTGCTCGACTATTTGGTGCTCATGTCTTACAGCTCAGAGTTCGCACCTCCAGGGAGTGCTGACTGCTTCCATGCTGCTAATATTTGTCCTGGTCTCTCCTGAGCCTCATCTGGCACACATGTAACTCAAAGTGACTGTCAACGCTCAGGGTGACAGGTTTGGGAGTGTAACAGCAAGCTGTCGCACACTTCCAGGTACTCCTTGTATCAGTAATGCTCCCAGTTCTACATCCCACCTCTGAGTTTTCAACAGTGGCAAGTATCTGGAAAATTTATGCTATGTATAATGCAAAAGAGAACACTGACTTCACAACTTGCATGTAATTTCATGTGTAATTTCATTGTAACATACAACTGCTCTTATAGTTTGCAGTCATCAACCTTCACCTGGCGTTCACGAGCCTCTTCTGAGCACGCACTCCCTTTTTACTTTCACGAATGACTCCCACTCCCCACACTGTTGATACAGGGGTATATGAACATACAGCTCTATCTACATGCTGGTCTTGCAATTTTGGACTGCCTGATTTTCCTGTGCATTTCAGTGTTAGTGCAGTGCACTGCTAACAGAACCAAAACGGGTCATTTTCCCCAGCAGCAGAAGTGAGTTCATCAACGTTTAAAAATGACAGGTTAGGGTTGTTGAAGGTCATGCCTTGTAATGCATTTTCACTCCAGATGGTTCTCTTTCCACCGTATACCCATGGGTTACAAATACATGGAAAAACATAGCTGTAATTCTTTTTAGACTAACGGTTCAGACTTTCAGAAATTCAGTTGTACCCATGGGAAGAGTATTTTTAATACCTTGCATAGAGAAAAAATTTTCAAACCTATTTATAACTGTATTTTAATGAAAAGAAACAGTTTTCAAACTCACTTTAAAAGGGAACATTTAAAAATAGAGTGGAACTTTTTTCTGGTCCTTTCTTTTTCACTGAAATAATAAAACTTACAGTAGTGACACTTGTCTTCGAGAGAAATACCTCTGTATCAAGACTAATGCTAGATCGCTCAGTATCTGAATAATTTCCAGATAAAAAGGAACAACATTGTATACATCTAACCACAATCTGCATGCCATTTATACTTCTTAATGTGATAACGTTTTCATTAAAAGAGACAGGATGTGCACAATCAGAAATTGGCTTTAATTTGTCTGAATATTATTTTTTAAAAAGTGTTATGGTTTCCCATTGATCTCATTTCCTACCAAGATTTAATTAAAACATAAATGTGGAAACCAGAATAAACTTGGAAGCAACTGAACAGCAAGGCAGTCTAAGAGCAACAAAGTTGAGGTCTCAAATTAAAACTGAATGAGTCTATTTTTAGGCATTTTATTTTTAATATGCATAGATTAAGATTTTCAAAGCAAATAAAAGGGTTAGATACATGTTCCATTTAAAATTAATATACAGGTCTTTGGGTGTAGACTGCATTTTACAAGTTTCTTTCCAAAGGAATCTAGGGAAATATATCAAGGACTTTTTATGAAGAGCTGATTTGTATAATGACATTAGGAAGCTAAGGCAAAGCAGGGCTGGTAAAACTGCTGTTCCACCTTTTTCAGACACAGAATGGACTCCAGCTTTAATGAGGAACTTTTTATCACAGACTTTTGCAGATGGATATTTTTACAAAACACGCACTCAAATCTGAAACTTTTATTTTCCTGATTTTTCAACCTACTAATTGGGCCTTGACTAAGTTCTAACTACTGATAAACTAATAGGTTTGGTGAATTATAGCTCAGCAATTACCTTTTTAAAGCTCAATAACTACCTTCCACCATGGAAAAGACTTGCTAAAGACTACATCCCTAACTGGAACAAATGCATTAAGAGATCATTTGTGTTGTCAGTAATTCTTGAGCAATTACAGAAGAGGTATAATGTCAAAAACATCCAGCCCCACCTAAGTCAAGATTCCACACCATTTTAACCTGTCTGAGGAACTGCTTTAGGCTTATTTATACTGATGTTTATACTCTCAGTAAACAGCAAAGCACCTCCTCAACCCACTAACACACAGAGAGTCTTGGGGTGCACGATCATGGAAAACATTACTGTAATCTTACTTCAGCTCTCTTCAGCATCTCCCACTTATTAAGTATCTTCATGGCAAAAACTTTATCTGCATTCTTCAGTTTTACTACTGCAACCTGGAAAAGGGAAAGGAAAGATAAATAAGTTACAACATGAAAACACATTTTGTTTTCATTTTTATGTAACCTTTCAGTTTTGGAGGTTTCATCCGGAGTGTTCCAGACATGTTTTTACTATCCACACAGTACCACATCATTGCCACCAAGAAAGAAATATCACAACAATACAGGAAAGTTCCAAGCTTATTGTAAGTTTTCATTATGTATCAGAGTCTCACTATGTATCATTTTTCTAGGTGACTGTCAATGAACAAATGGTATTTCTGACCATCACAACTCTTGCTCTATCACACTCTCGCTCTATCACACTCTCATGAAGCTCTCTCTGGCACTATGCTTTATGTCCCTGGACTTCAGTCTACACACTAATTTAAATTATAGAGGAGTCAAGAAAACAGCGTAGCAGATTGTATATCAAAATAAACATCGTATTTTGGGTTTTAAACAAAATCAGACTGTAGATTTGCCATAAAACAACTTCCACTCTCATTTCAAATAACACACTAGATTTTCTTCAAAGGTATTATAACTTCACATTTTTCCACCTGAAGTTCAGTGAGCTCTGTTTCAACGTCTGTTTCAGTAGCAGGGAAACAGTGAAATCCACAATTTCTAGAGAAGTAAAAATCAAGGAACACAAGCCTGTCCACCTGCCCCTCCTCCCCCCATAGCTTCTGTAACATTAGAATACCATAGGCCTCTGTAATAATAAATTAACAAAGTTCACTGACACAGTCCTTTTCTGAGAATATTAGTTTTGTTTGGCTATAACATAAGCTAACATAGAATATTTTTAGGAAAGGGGGAAGGAAGAAGTTTACACAAACATGTTTACACAGTTCAGGCTTCCGTGGGTATGGAAAGCTCAGTGCCTTAACCAAAATGGGTATGCATCTGCCACAAACTCAGAGCTGCTAATCAAAACTAGACCAGACCACTGCACTATCACCCCAACTACACAAAAGTTCAACTGTCAATACATTTTAACAACCATTCTCCAACTGTTCTGTTCTGCCTCTTCCCTTTCAAATACGTCTTAATGCTTATACAGGTAAAAGTTTATTTCTGTGTGCATCTGGTTACAAACCAACATGATGTCACACAGATTACCATCATCTTCATCCTGCAGGCCAGTGACAAAAAAATACAAAGGTTGAATTCTACATTCCTTTCACCTCTCTCACAATCAGTAAACCAGCTATGTGTGAAGACAGTGATAACAGAAAAGAAAATACAGGATCAGACAGTTTGAAGAAAGTGTCATGCAAACCTCTTTCAACCATCTTCAGATGTGTCATCAGCTGCAACAGCTTCACGAATGTGGCAAAAGCGCAGGCTGAAGGACTGCACTGCTCTGATGTCTAAGCCAAGCATATCTCAAAGCGTACCTCCTGCCTAGCTATAGGCTCACAGCCGAAGCAGCTGTCACCTCCCATATGTGCCACAACGCACTGTCAACCCTGCTCTTGACACTGCTGCCTCCTGGGGTTACAAGGGGTGGGAATGGGATGGGGGGGGAGGAGGAGATAGGTAATAAAAAAGGAGATAGGATAGAAAGGTACCACATTTACTTGTTTAAACTAGTCTGTGGACTGAAATTCTTAAAGGTTACTTCATGCATGAGGTTCAAGTTCAGACTTGGGATCCCTCAAGGAACTTTCAGTTTTGAAACACAGAAATAGATTATTACTTTAGCCTATAATACAATAATTTTAATCCATAAAGAGTGCATGCTCTGTTGTGCATGGTACCCCAAGTCTAGGCATCCCAATTTTCTTTAGGAGGGAAGATATGAATCCTCTGCAGTGATATATAAGCCACAGTGCAGATTTGATCCTCATTCTCCTTTTGCTTTACCATCTAAAACTAGTTGGAAACCTGATAAGCCATTATCTGTATCAATTTCTAATGCAAATGGTAGAAGGAGAAAGCTTTTAATGTTGCAACTAGTCAGCATTCAAACTGTATCATACGTAACTTGGATGAGTTCTGCCCTGAAGACCTGTAAGGGTTTGGGGACTGATGCAGTGAAAAATTAAAAGGTTGCTCCCAGAGCTGCCTAGCTGCTGCTGTCCAGCATGAAAAATAAGTTTTTCCCCACCGTTAAGCATGGTAGGAGAGGCAGCCAGAGGCATAACACAATACATGTATTTCAAGATCACCTTCAGGATTTCATTTCTTGCCTGCAGAATGCCCAATTCTGCAAAGGCTGTTACTCTGCTAAGGACTTAGCTATTGAAAGACATACACTAACTGCACTGCTGCCTAAATTTGCAGTCTCCTATTCAGCATTCACGTGGACACAACTGTAAGAGCTACGGCACTGCCTTTGGTGAACAGCTGGAGCACAGGCCTTCTGTGGCATGATCAAGGGCTCGGTACCTTCTGTGAATGTGTAATTGCATTGAAGAGTGACTAAAGAACAGAAATAGACTTGTGTTTACCAGCTGTGTTTACAAGCAGTCAGAAGCTGTCTTTTAGTCTGTCAAAGCCATTAATGTTATTCCATATCAATAATCAACAGACGCACAAAAGAGACACAGACATCATCATCTTTCTGCAATCACAGCATCTTTTGGGGGGTGTCTCAGTGCTTTATGACAGTAAATTCTAAAACGTTTATTGCAAGGCTATGAAAGAAAAACCTGACACTTCAGCAATGAGTTGTCTGATTCAGTTTCTAATTGTAACAAAAAATTCTGAATCACGATTACAAACCCAGGCCACGTTTACATATACACAGAGGTATCTACTACCTACACAAAGGCACAAATACTCAGAGAGTGCTGTTTTGATCTTTTCCCTTCCCCACTGAAGCTGTCAAGATAGAAGAAAGCGTAATTCCTGTCTAGTTATCCTGAAGTGTCTTGCTACTGGAACTTCTTAAAATTAGACTTTTAAAAGCTGAGGTTTATTTAAATTTATATTTTCCTGTGAGCAGCCCAGGAAAAAAATGATTGGTATGTGCTGATGTAAATATCTTGGTTTAGTCAGATATGTCGGTTTGGTTTGCTTTTTTTTCAATTCTTCCAACAGTTTTCCATATTTCCCACAAACAGCAGTATAGTTTGGCATGCTGTCAGACACCTTCTGCCCCAAGCTTGGCTACTTGTCTCTATGGTACACTTTTCCTTTGCTTAAAAATCAATAGCCTTATACAGAAAAAAAGCTAAAACACAAGCAATTAAAATGGAAATTTAAAAAAAAAAAGAAAAAAAGGAAAAATAAAAAAAAAGAAAGTAAAAAAAAGATTCAGCATTGGTTTTCTTGCCCAGCAAGAGCAGGCAGACCTCCAGAAATAAGAAGAGGGAATGTTACTGTTCATAATTATATGACAAAATCTAGGAGTAACTGACTAGTTCTCAAGTTACAAAATTCATCATCTTCAAAATATCAACAACATAAACACGTAATATGTGCATAAGCATGCACTGAACTTTCTTTTTAAGCAATAATAGAATCAACTGAAAATTTTGGTATTAGCCAGAACCTTCATTAAGCTGCACTTTTATACTGCTGACGGACAACACCAAGAGCTGTTGCCCAGTTGCTTCACCTTTCCTAGCATTGTGCTTCCAACTCCCAAGTTTAAAGTCTTCTTGTTTAGAACTGTTTGTTAAGTTTTTCAGACTACACTGCTCAAAGCCAGTACAATGAAACACTTGAAGCCCACATTATTAATTTTATCAGGATAATCCTGCTCCTACCCCAAGCAAAACATCTGTGCTTTCTAAAGACAGCACTATGGCATAAAACTGTAAATAAGTAAATGCATGCATGCAGAAGGATGTATGTCAATAATTTGACAAAAAGGAAACATTCTCAGTCTGGCAGAAAACAGGGTAAGGGGAAAAACAAAACTAGGAACTCTTACAGTTACAAGCAGTAACTAGTTTAAACTACTTTTTGTCTACATTAAACTTGTAAAAACAAAAAGGGAAATATTTCTTGACTATGCAAATTGAAGAAATTGAGTAGTGTAAAATCAAAATAAGAACAAGTCTGAGACTGTGCCAAAGAAAACGTGCACTAACTTTGTAGTCTAGAGAATTTCAGAATTATGTTGATTCAGGAGACAAAAATTACCCCTCCCTGTAACCTAGAGAAACCTTGGTCTCATTTATAGTTTGCTGGAAAGAAAATACATTCCTTCAGATTTCTTAATCTGCCTCAGTAAATAAAAGTATTTTGCAATTTAATATTAATATAGTTTCTGGTGGTTTAAGTAGCAGTAAAATTTAGTGGTCCTTTTTCAACATTGCTCAGATATTTACTGGTTATTTTAAAAGAAAATTAGCAATTTCATACAGAACTTCTGTCTTCTTACACAAATGTCTGGGTAAGACTTGAAATCTGTCCTAAGCTAGAAAGGAAATTTACCATATATCCTTCCAAATACTTATTAAGTCCTACTTTAGGAACATAAAAAACCAAACATCTTCACTGGAAAAACTTCAGTTTTTCCCTTACTGAAGATTTTGACACATGCTATCCTCCTCAGATAAGGAATTATAAAGAAACACTGTTCCTAGAAGAGGAGAACTAACCAATTACACAGACTGTCCCCAGAAGAGGATGGGGAAAGTTACATTCTCACTATTCATGGGATGATTCACCACAAAGAACTTCCTGAGAAAGAACTACGGTTTCTTTGTGGTTTAGTGGCTGTGGTGTTTGATGCTGATTTAGCAGACAAAAATTACTTTTCTTATAAACAGAATATAAGGCAGGTTTCATGTATGATCATTCTGACAACGAAGCACCAATATCAGCAATTTTTCCTATATTTAACACAATTTGTACATGCTGCAGCTCTTGTGGTAGCACTGACAAAGGCTGATCTTTTAAGCAAAAGTGTTTACATCAAAATGGAGATTGCAACATTCTTTGTGGCAGAGGTTTAGAATAAAGACAAATTATCCATGAGTAACTTCAGCCTTCAGTCTCCTTTATAAAGAAGCTTTACTCCAGATGGAGCAAAACCAAGAGTGCTAAAGTAGCTAAATAAATACAACTCTTTTTTTGTTATTTTTACAGCTGCCCAATGATTATATTTGCTCGTAGGCATCAGAGTATGTAGTGACACACACAACAGTACAAATTACTGTTCCTTACATACTACCTGTAGGACTCTACTCTTCCGTAATTACAAACTAGTAAAGACTGATTTACACACATGATGCAAACATGTAAGTGAACCTGAAACCAACTCTGTCACGTGCCAGAGCCTCCAGAGATTCTCTCCTACCAAAGAGAACTTCTATTTCCACAGGCAATGAAGACATTGATCAGAAAATCATCTTCTTAGTCTTTGGGTTTCAGTTTGCATGTATTTTTGGCAGTATGGAGTACCTTCTGCAGAAGCTTTACAGACTACCCACATCTGCAGTATATTTGGCTACGAAAAACTCAGGGAACTGCTGTACACTAAATTGTTCTTCCTACAAGCACAGTGTCCTGCATGAAAAACAAAGCTCATGCACCCAAAACAATTAAGAAAAAGGGACAGAAAGCTAACATTTATTTACTAAAGTTTCCTCAACCTAGTGATCAACAGCCTTATCTGACAACTTCAAATAAGAGGTGGCTTAATCAGAAGCAGCAAAAAATTGTATAGTTTGATAGCGGTAGGTGACTACTGAAAAAGAAACTAAAATCTGCTAAATTCTTCAAAAGAAATGCAGGAAAATATTCAAGCATTCATTAAGAATAGGAAACTGAATGACAGGAAAACAGAGATTTCTCTATGTTCCTAAAATGTCAGTATCAGTAACCGGTTATTTAAGCTGCTGAAAACTATTAGTGCTGTAATATATTACATATAATATATAGCATTATATATATATTATAATAGTACTTTAAAGTAGTATTTAGTTATTAGAAAGATTAGGAATTTTTAGATCTTTATACCATCAGTAACTCACTGGCCTCAACCTACTGACTGGAAAGAATTACAATCAAGGAAATGATTTATCATCAGACAGTCAAAACATGGTCTTTTGATCCACGTGAACTTGCCTTCTCTCAAAATTTACAAGACTTTAAAGAGCTGTCAAAGAATGTATAAATCAAAATGTCCTTGCATCAAACATTAGGTGGGCCTACAATATCCAGTATGGTTAAATAATGTAAAAACCTGTACATTAGTCTATTACTATTATCTGTCTTCTCCTCAGTGCTGCTGATTTGAGTGCTACTCAAACCTTTCCACCTCCTTCACACACATACCTCCCCAAAGGCTCCTCGACCAATCACCTTCAGGATCTCAAAATCTTCTTTATGTAGTCGCATCTGTTTCACTTTAGATGTAAAAGGTTTGGCTGAAATAAAGGAAAAAAATCAATCATTAAGAAAAAGCCAATAACAACCCCCATAAAATCAAAAAACAAGGTAACAGGAACATAAAATAGATGGAATCAAAGCCCTGAAAACAATGGACTTTTTGCTTATATCTATATTCCCTACTGTAATATAATTAAGTCTAAAGCTAGAAATAAAGTTAGAAATAAAAAGTCAAAACTGCTGTGAGAAAAAGTCTATGAAGTAAGCTTGCTTGTGCCTTTTGTTTTAATTAAAAACAACCAAAACAAAACAAAACAACAACCCAGAGAATCAAGCTGACTATATTTTTCCATAGACTTTGAGTTTGCAGACGTCCACTGCATCTCTGCTGTGTAACTCTGGTTGCAAGAGCAAAGTAACAAGACAATAAGTTCACTTTGGACAGTATTAATTTGTTTGTCAATCAGCAAAACAATAGTGTATTCAATGAAAAATTAAAATGCTGATGAATGGTAACTGGAAGGGCAATATTGGCCTAGATGATGTATCATGCAGTATTTTTGGAGACTAATTCTCCAAGATTGGGGACACTTAATAGTCAATTCTTGGCTTCTGGAAGCAAGAAAAGTTGTGCTGGAGACATTAACACATTGAGTGGAAAAACTGAATTTGTTAATAGGTTTCATTTCCGTCTTATTTTCCCCCTTTTATAGTATCTTTCAAAGCAGTAAGCCCAACAACTTCGTATTCTAGACAAGCAACCCCTATGTTTTTGCAGTAAAACAGTATCAGGACTGTTCCCCTCCTTCAGCCCCATTTAGCACTACAAGTAACCAGTCCTGCTTCATTAATACATGCTCTCTGCCTGCATGCAGAACATCCAAGTTACTGATAACTCCACCTCAAAACCTACATAACACAATCTCGGGGGGGGGGTGGGGAAGAGTTCTTTTTAGAATTGTTTAAAGATCACGGATACAGATAATCTATCATTCAATTTAGAATTCTGATATTAACATTCACCCGTTCAAGGCACTACAGCATCCATGTCCAAAAGCCTACTGCCTACTATTCAGCAAAGCAATTTTATAAACTGAGTCAAGACACAAGCTACCTGTAGTTTTAACACCTAAAAATCAAAAAAACCCTTTCTTTACTCTAGTACTTAAAGTAACATTGTAAATAATATTTGAAAAACATCTCCACAAAAATGTAGGGTCTTATATTTGTCCTATTAAGCAATCCAGAACACCTCTATAACATTAGTAGTACAATGGATGAAACCCTTCAAAAATCTCAGATGTTCCAAAGTCTGAACTTAGTCTATTTTCCTAAAATTTCTCAGATGCCAGGAATCAATTCTCCACCAGGAGTTACATCTGTTAAAACTACAGAAACATCCAGGGTTTAGGTTCAAATAGTAAAGATATAGCCATACAACACTGAAATTTTCACTGTAATGATACTTTACCTTTATAAACAACTCTATTCAAAATATTTATTTATACAATTAAAATACAGGTTTAATACTGCATTTTAAACACTTTCAAAATGTAATTTAAACAGAAGTATATTACTCAAGTTCACAGAGATTCACCAAACTTTCAGTTATTCTTTTATCCCTTAAAAGGAAGGTCTTGCAATAGAAAAAGCAAGTGATAAGAAAATGTACTGCCTTACTTGGACAGCCCCAGCTGTAGTGTACTAAGTGACTGAGTACAAATATTAATACTACTGACAAATACTACTGAACAAATTAAAACAAGCCATTAGAGCCTCTTAACTTGAAAAACAACTGATTGAAAACAAACATGCAGTTCTCAACTTCAACATTTTTTGACCATTATAGGTCTGGCTAGAGTACAAGGCAAAATATCTTGCTAACAAGCAACAGCATAGCTGTTTAAACCACAAAGCTCTTCCTCACTTTATATTCCAAGGAAAGGCCTGTCATTCTTTAATTATTACATTCTGAAATCTTCCAAGGTTCCCATAGGGACACTGGAAAAATAAACATCACTATAACTACTTCAATAAAATAAAGCCGACAAAAATAGGTTTGGAGTAGGTTTAATGATTTGCAGTCTCAGCGTTAGTTAAAAAGTTTGCAAGCGCTCCTCTAATTTTTTTATCACCTCTAGCAGAAGAGATGTCAGTGTATAGCCAAGCAGTTTTATGAACAAAGATACATCCCTTGGGAACAAAAAAAAGGAAAGAGGAAAAAAAAAAAAGGAAGAAGAATTGCCCGAGGAATGTGCCCCAAATAGCTTGTTCCAAAAAAGGTCAATTTGCTTTATCATCAATGTTGTTTGTCCGCTGTGCAAACATCTGCTGTTCTTGTGGCAACAGCAATGCTAAGCTACAGAAAACTTGGCCTGGTCTGGGTCTTGGAGGGCCTGTCTTCAGACAGCCTTGTCATACATCCAGCCCTCCAGACTATGAGGTGAACAGGCAGACCTTTTGCAACTGGTCTGGCAACGTCGCCCAGGCCGTTACAAAGGGAGCAAAGTGTCAGGCCAGGGAATGGTCTTCAAAACGCAACGTGCTCCGAGGGGTCCCTGAAAAGCAGCTCTGCTAAAACAAACAGGTACACAGCCCTCCCTTGCTCACACCCCCATCCCCTTAAGAGAATCAGTATGAAGTTAACAGAACACAACATCCTCTTTCTCAGCAGGATCTGCAGTTTCATTGATCATAGATACCAGAGTGACACACTGTCTTAGCTGTTTTTTGAGAGCAAAAGGTAGTACTGAGCATCTATTTCTTTTGGTACTTCAATCAACCTACGGAAATACACGGTGGCATAGCTGATTTTTTCCTACACACACATTCCTTTTCAAGGTTGCTAGCCATGTGTGATACAGATTAGGGTCCAGCAGCTTGTTGTGCCAAAGAGAACTCATCCTCCTCCAAATGAGGAGTAAGTGTGGGCAGCACGTCCCTTGGTTCCTCCTGGAATTTCAACTCAGCAGGAATTGAAGTTCATTATATAAAACTTTCAAATTTGGCAATTCTCTATGACCACAGCGTTTATGGAGGAGGCTACTCCAAAAAATATTCCATGTTGTTATCAATCTCCTTGGAGGAGATGGATAGATAAGACTTGACCTATGAAGACTGTTGTGTGAAAACACTTGGCCACTCCACCTGGCCAATAATTCTGATCTCACCCTGCCTGGGAAAACTGCGCCACCACCCTCTTGGCAAGATTCCTTTCACTTATTAAACCAATTACACTCAGCAAGAAAAACCAATCTCCCAATTTACCCTCGGGGAACCAATGTATTGATACAGTAAGATAAGCTGCATTTTCAAACAAGGTGAACCTGTCATGACTATTTCTTCAATGTACGTAAGTCTCCATGGGTCTTTCTCCACACTTTAGGTTCTAGCCATTCATTACACTTATGCTTATAACACACTCAATAAAATTCAGTAATAGGAGAATATTACAAGTGTTAGAAATTTAGATTTTTTTCCAGTTAAAATTTAACCAGAACTCCATTAGAAGTAACATGCTAAACACAGAGAAAAACAGTCAGGAAGATTCTATCTGCCAAGCCAGGCATGCAGAGGAACATATGTTCTATCCCCTGGCCCAGAAAAGGGAAGATTTTATTACAATTACAACAACCATCCCGCAGAAGAGAGGCAAAACAATGGGTTCTGCAGTAGTGACACTGAGCTTTAGCAGTCTGTTTATCGTATTTATATGGGAGGGAAGCAGTTCCTAGCTTAACTTACAGAACATTTAATTTAATTTAAACATAGAGGTTAATTTTCAAACTCTCAGAGATAAAAGTCCACCTCCAGAAGAGCTGACACAAGGACTACAGGAACATGGTTTATAGCCCAATATTGTTTAATATCATGATTACACCAAACAACATCAAAATAACAAAACAGCACTATTGGATGCTTTACTTGCAAAGTTAGTTTCATACTCCTGCCTTTCTCTCCATCCAGCTCCAAGTTTCTGTCTGCAGAGCTTGGGCAGGTCAAGCCCTGGAATTCAGCTTTTTCAAGGCTAACCTGCTGGCAGATGAGAAGAGCTCGTGATGCAATCCTTCCTCTTCCTCCCTCACCTGCTAGTGACCCTTTCCCTCTCCAGCACAGAGCTGCTGTAGGCATGTGCTGAAAAGAACCCAAGTGAGATGAAGGTCATGTTGACTGTTAAAGAAAAGTGCTGCAGACTTGGAGCAGCAATTGGAATGGATCCCCACAACTTCTTTAAATAGAAAACAGGACAATGTTTAGGAATTCCTCTTGGTGTCTCACTGATGCAATAGTTGCTTTTGGATAAACAGGATAGCTAAGTCTGCTAGATGGAAGACACTGTATTGCTGACTGCCAGGTTGTAGTAAGATACTCATATCTTACTTCCCAAAGGAATTACAAAACATGCTTCCTTAGTGATCCAGGTATCCCACAGCAAACCCAGCATTCTGCCCACTGCACTGTTCAATGTAAAATGCCACATCAAGCTAAAGGTATAGAAAGAAATTAAAAGCTGTATCCATGAGAATTGTCAACAGCAATGGCGAAAGTTCATTATCACAGAATCACAGGATATGCTGTGCTGGAAGGGACCCATCAGGATCAGAGTCCAACACTCAGCCCTCCACAGGACCATTCACAAGAGTCACACCATGTGCCCAAGAGTATCGTCCAAACACTTCTTGGTCTCTGTCAAGTTTGGTGCTGTGACCACTTCCCTGGGGAGCCTGTTCCAGTGCCCAACCACCCTCTGGGTGAAGAGCCCTGACACAACTTCAGGTCACTCCCTCGGGTTCTGTCACTGGTCACCACAGAGAAGAGGTCAGTGCCTACCCCTGAAGGAAACAGACTGGAAAAGAAAACCACCACCACAGGAAACTAGTTGCTTGCCATTTCAAGACAATGCCCCCTTTCCTTCACTAGCTAAAAATAATTATTAAAATACATACAGAGCTTTCCCATACAAAGGAGAAAAAACACATAACCTCAAAGATGTCACTTAACTGAATACCAGAGGCTCTCTAATTCTTCCTAGTGGTGT